GTGACAATTTCATTTCAACTATGAGGCTGAGTGATTTTCATTCACCTCATAGTTCTCCTTTAAAAGGTAGAAATTTGAAAAAGTCAGTGCAGGTTTACTTTTGCAATATAACTTAGAGTGTATTATCTGGGAGAAAATAGCCACAAATATTGTTCAGTAGCTGGACAGTATGGCCAGTGACCTCATCGAAACAATGAGAGACAAGGCAGGTTTTATGTTCAAACATTAGAGTGTATTATTTCAGAAACAATATTTGTTTATTTATTACAAGTATGAACTCAGTGCTTTACATACTGTTCATTCACATCAGTCCCTGTCCTCGAGGAACTTACAATCTAAGGTCACTAACTTACACTCTAACTTATACACACATGCTAATTTAGATAGGGTCTTTTATACTACCAGCGTTTCTTTGGAGTGTGGGAGGAAACCAGATTACCCAGATAGAATCCACTCATGCAGAGGAAAAACATGCAAACTCCTTGCAGATATTTGTGCTCAGAACCCCAGTACTACAATGCAGAAGTATTAATCAGAGTATAATGTCTCCTTGACGATAGCCACAAATATAGTACAGTCACTGAGCAGTGTGTAGGCATATTGGTTAGGCCCCAGTGAATGAGTGAGAGAGAAAAGGAATTTTTCATTATACAATTACATTTACATTACAATTACATTATTTCAGAAACAATAATGACCAATATGCATTTGCTGGGCAGTATTTAAGCAGCTTGATTAGGCCACAATATAACAAGGAGTGATTATACATTTTTAATTTTGAAATAAAAATTAAAGTGTATTGTTTCAGAGACAATAGCCACAAATATAGAGTCTCTGGACCATATGACAGCAACATGACTAGGCTGAAATGTAAGAGGGATAGAAGAGGCAGTTTTTATCCTAAAATAAAAATGACAGTGTTTTACTTCAGTGACAATGGCCACAATACAGTATAAGATGAGAAGACAAGACAGCTTTCACCTTAAAATAAACATTATAGTTGGAAAAGGGCACAAACTAGGAGAAACAGAGCATGATTTATCTTGCAGCAAACAATCGGGTGCATAAACATTATGTATGCCAATTTTACACTGCTGGAGCACAAAATATAGGCACAACACAGAATGTACCCTGAAGTAAACATTAGAACTTTTGCAGCTGAATCTCAGCTGTGGAAATATTATGTGTGGCACCTTTACGGTGCCAGAGCACCAGAATAGGCCAGGAGAGGTGGCAGGAGCTGGAAATGGTGACAGTGACAGGTGAGGAGAGATGTCAAGAGATGGTAATGACAGCAGCAGGCCAAGAGAGGTGGTGGGAGTTAGTAATGGTGGCAGGCCAACAGAGGGGGCAGGAACTGGTAATAGTGGCAGGCCAGCAGAAGAGGCAGGAGCTTGTAAAAGTGAAAGGAACAATTTTTTAAGGCTGAATGACAAGAAAAATTTAGTCGGTATCATCATTTGCAGGGGTTTTGCATTACTTACTGATCCAGGAATGGTTAATTTTTATGTAAATTCGTAAGTCCTCAGTCTCATGTGACAGCTGGATATATCTCTCTAACAAAACAACCTGCTGAGCTGAAGGTCCTCTCAGACAGCACAATGGTCCAGGAAAGGCTAGAAACTCCATCACATACTGTGCAAGCTCCAACCAGTGATCTATCCATGACACCCAATTGTCTCACTTTAAAGAGTTCACATTAGCCAAGCAAACCAAATAGCCTGTAATTATAAAGCTAAGGTGCAGCCTGTCCTCTGTGGTTGGAATAGAACATTTAAAAACATTGCAGAGGCAGCCACCACCCTCACTGCTCCTTCTTTTAGGGATATGAGGATCAGAGGGCACCCTGGGCATAAGAGGGGTTCCTGCAATTATCTGGAAATGCAGCCAATAGGTTATTATGCAGCACCTCCTCTGAGTGGTGTATTTTGTGATGGCATGGTAGCATGAAATTAGCCATTTCCCCCTTTATCTAGGATCTAAAAGTGTGGCCACCGAGTAAAGGTCTATCCTTCATAGCCTAAATCTTATTGTCCTGGAACAGGCATTTCAGTAGGAAAGAGAACATTTGCCACAGTTTGCCTGCAGCAGAAAACCGTGAGTCCTCTGTGTTGCTGGGGACAATATTGCCCTCAACTATATCACCCCACCCATGTACAACTCCTCTGGTTTGGGAAGGGTGAAATGTTCCCCTATAGCGATTTTCTCTTTACCAACAATACCCCAGCCCTCCTCCTTGTACTCCTCTGCCTCATTCTTCCTCTTCCTGGTAGATGAAAGCATAAAGGCAGTAGGCAAAGAATCTTGATGGCCCTGAGAAAGCAGGGAGTCCTCCTCTTCCTCCAGCTTCTGCCTACCGTGTCTAGTTTATCACACAATTCATTTTGTACTCCAGCAGGAACACTTGAGGGATTGCTTGCTAATCCCTACCTCATCTCGGTTCACCATTCTGGTCACTTGTTTGAATTGGGACAAGATGTTGCACAGATCCTGAATCAGGAGCCAATGACATGGTGAAAAGAACCCGTCTTGAAAGCCTGTCCTCATCTTGTACTCACATAGAAGTTCTCATTGATGGCCCTCTGCTGCTACTGCAGCATGGCTGACATCGAGTTTCAGCCAGTAGGTGTATCCCATATCAGGCAGTTGCAGGCAGCTGTATTTAGCCCAGGTAAATATTTGCAGAGTATGACCATCTAAAGTGGCAGCACAATCTTCTGGCTGCAGGTCACCTGAAAGCCAGGCTACCTAACCTGGAAACACTGCACCACCAAGTTTAGTATATTTCTCCTGCCAAAGGGAGGCAGCCTATTGGTGCCATTGTCACACATGACCTTGCCTGGCACAAGGTGTGGTCAGTCTCCTCTGTGACTGCCCCTTAAAAGCTGCCAAAATCACTGTCCCATTGTGACTTCTGACTGACGATATTAGTGCAACTCATTATCAAACCCAAAAATGTAGTCAAACATACACTTGTGTTAAATTTGTGCCCAAAACCACATTATAGTACCCATTTTTTTGTAAAATATAAAAGATGAGGTTATTAAACATGTGGATTCGGATTTGGAGGAACTTACTGTATCACAAAATTCCGTGGATTCTGCAGTTCATCTGAATCCGAAATAATGATTTATTATACGCCTGAATATATGAAAAACTATATTCGGGCATATAGTAATTCGTTTTGTATGAGCACCGCCTTCTTGCTGTGTCCAAGATGGAGGCGCCCATACATGTGTATGATGTCACCAGACGCTGGCATTGGGTGACGTCATGCACCCCACCTCCAAGATGGTGGTGAGCATGCGCTGAACGTGCCAGTAGCCATTATGGCTGAGGAACGTTTTTTTAAATGTCGTTTTTTTGGTTTGTTGCCTCCATATCAAAAAGAGCATAATTATTTGTTTCATCAAATGAAATACAGGCAGTCCCAGAGTTACATATATATGACTCCTACTTACAAATAGAGGCTATTGCTGTACAGCAGGGGTAGTTGTAATGCTACCACGCTCGTGCTGACGAGGAGTGCCCGCCTTTATGGGTCTGGTTTGTAGTATTGTACGTACATTACAGGAAGTTGGCTCTTGTTAGATGTGCAGACGAAGGGTGCCCACCTCTTCTTCCTGGTCACTGTGAGGTTTTTACTGCTGTCTGTATCCTCATAAGAAACATTTAATCTCACCTGTCCTTGGGACAACAGGAAGTGAAAGGAAATCTACACCTAGGAAGGGAAATTCACTCCTGTAAGAGGGTAATGGGAATCAGGTGTCTCCACTGAAGCTTTATCACCAATCCTTGTTTCCATGAGAACCCCAAATTTTCCAAATCCAATTGTCGCAGGGACAAAAGGTGAGATGAAATCTTCTGAACAGGGGAACACACAGCAAAACAAACTTTACAGGGGGTAAACCCTTCCCTATGCTATGCAAAACAACAACAAAACATTTTTGGCTGGAGTTACACTTAAAATGTACCTGTTCCAACTTACATAAAAATTCAACTTAAGAACAAAGCTATCTTGTTCGTAACCTTGCGACTGCCTGTAAACAAAACGTTTTTTTATGATGTGCACATGTCTAGAGGTTATGATGAGTAAAGAGATACTCAACATGTCCTGGTTAAAATTTGTGAAACGGCAACAAAATATGGTGGCCCAATTTGTCAATAGACAATGCTTTAAAAGCCCATAAAGGTCATTAGTTTAGAGATATTCATGTATATTGGCCCTAGTATTATTGCTCTCACTCTGGGTCACACGGCAACACCTAACATGTGTAGCCTGATCGTCGTGGTAGAGGACTTTACATTTTTGTTTATTTTCACATTCATTTGATTTTATCTTTTTTTTTAACTTTA